CACACCTATAACCTATCTTTTATATACATTAATAATTGATTATTTATTAATAAACATTTTCATAATAAGTATCAACATAACGTCTTTTACGGAATGAACATCACCTTTTGAAAAACTGTATGTATACAATGTTTTTGAAAGGACTCAATATTATTATTATGTTCTATTCCTTTCAGATCAAACTTTAATATACAGTAAATATTCACGATATATATTCTTAACTCTTACAGTTATAAAGTTTTACAGTTATTAGTTAGTAAACTCTTAACAGCAAGTACCCGGAAGACCGAGCTTTGCTCGGTTTGTTTTTTTTTTTTGGTAAATCGTGTATTTTGGAAATTACATTTAGATACAAATTATTGAGTAATGAAATATGCATAATATTTTTCGATCTTACCGACGTAATAATAAGAAAATATGAACTGATGTTTTTCACAAAAGAAAGAACTTTAAAAAAAAAGGGAAAAAAAATAAGAAAATAACAAATCAACAATAAATTAAAAATAAAGAAAGCAATCATTGCTTTAAAGTAAGTAAAAAAATAAATGTGTAAATGATCGTGACGCAAACCACGGCCGTCTGTTTTGGGGCCGCCCGATTACCGACCGAGCTATTTTGACATTTTCTCTTGCGGCGAAATTTACCGTCATATTCGAATTATATTTTTCATTCCCTGAAACAGGGATAAAAGGACATTTTCTAAAAATGAAACCTAGCTAGATCGATTTTTCGCCCCCAAATCTATGCACATACTAAATTTCATGAAAATCGCTGGAGCCGTTTCCGAGATTCCGATTATATATATATATATATATATATATATATATATATATTATATATATATATACAAGAATTGCTCGTTTAAAGGATAAGATATACAAAACCTAATATAGCAACATATATAATTTTCTAACGCTTTAAACGTGAAGATAAGGGTTTGAGTTCTATAATTTTTGTAAACTAGTCTTTTGATTTTATTTAAATTACTGTTGGACATGCATTTTAGACAATCTTTTGTATAGACGCTTTGTGTTGTCACCAGTTGGAGTTTGTGAACAGCGCATTACTTCCGGAGGTGATCACGCTCAAAAATAACGTTAACGGACAAATGAATAAGTTTAAATATTTAGTATTTCACATGGAGAGTATGTTTTCTAAAATTAGACCAGCGTAAAGTGGAAGTATGACAAATACTTTCGCGTTTCGTCTGGTGAGTGAGGTAGCCGGAGCCCAATTTTCAAAAGGTTGTCAACGCATCTGTATTCCTCGGGTGTGGCAGATGTGCATGGGCGGCGGTATTCACTTAACATCAGGTGAACCGTCTGTTCGTTTGACAACTTTTCGCATAAAAAAAAAGAAAAACAAGGCAAATCAACAGTCACGTTATTAATAACTCCAGAAATAACAAGACTTTCGGGGTGGTCTGTATTGGCATGTCAGTCTGACCTTCGGCGATAATCCGCGATACTAGGATAGGCTATAAAAAAGTCGTAAAATATTTTAATTAGTAAATACTAAGTCGAAGTCGCGACTTGTCGATATCGCCTGTGTCGTAAAAATTGTGAGTATTGGCCTAGTTGTCTTAATATTTAATATTATACTAAAACATGTTTGGTTATATCAACGGAAAAGGTGATAATCATGAGTAAAGTATAGACATAGAAGCTACGGTTATGAAGTTCATAAAATGTGTAATGAATGTAACACAGTGTCGTAAGACAGCGTACAGCTATGGTGGAGTTATTAAATATATGGTAAAGATAAAAGCCGATTATTTGCGAGTATATTACTAGACTTTGGACAAAAGCTTGTTTATTAATATATCCTAATATTGACTTTCGGTTATTCTGAATTCCACCATAATTACGTTAACGGTAAAAATGGTGTAGAACATAAAAAAAGATCATTTTTATTTTTTAATCCAAAAGGAATTATCCCCCTGCTATATTACATCTTTTAAAATGGCCTTGCAGATATTTGAGTGAAAAGTCTACCTTTTGTTTCACTATATCTATTATTAATATCTTTTTCTTCTCTTCTTAGTTGTTCCTTCACTGCTGAGGATCATGACTCATATTTACTTGGTCGACGAGCTGTCTCCATTGGTTTCGCTCCGTCGCCTGTTGGAGTACTAAAATATGTAGAAAGTTCATCCGAAGTGTGCAAGTGCAGAGGACAGCACTATAAAAATTTAAAAATTAGCCTTTTAGTATATTTATAGAGTTATATATTTCATGTTTTCTTTTTATTATCTATTTATCGGTATATTCGTTAATAAATTTTCAGTTGCTCATTTAATAGAACTAAGTTAATGTAGTAACTGTTAATCTAGTTAAATTTCAATTTTTTCAATACATTATCAGAATATACTCATATACTAATGTAACATAAAGAAACCTATTTTTATTCTAAAAGCAGCATTGACAAGTAAGCTACCTACAACGATTCTATTTCTCGATAATTACGTAATTGTTACGCGCATCATTGTAATGAAAATACAACTGTAGGTTTAATCAATTATCCTTTACCGCACCCAACAGCTCACGGACGTGACAAACTTATTACTTGTTGCTGACGCATAGGCAAGCGAAATATTTAGAGCGGAATTAATGTGCTACGCGAACAATAAATTGGACTAACGACCTATTATAAATACTATAGTGATATACTCGTCAGTTCAGGAATCTTCCCAACAAAATGGAACTAAATGTCTTAAACTTTCGTTAAGGAATGACCAGATCGAAATATGTGATATGGTTTGTGAATGATAAAAGCCCATCACTTCTAATAAGGAAACATGGAACCACTTGGATATTGTAATTTTAATTACTGGCAATACAAATAACTTGGTATAAAGGTTTTTTTTTTTATGTGAGAAGAAATCAAACGATCTGGTGGTCCCGGCCTGTGCACCTGATGTTAACTGATATCTACCGCCCATAGACATTTGCAACATCTGATGGGTTGCAAATGCGTTGCCACCTTTTAATAAATTGGGTCGCATAGAAGACTAGCGTGAAGTGTAAGAACACTTACATTTCACGCTAGTTTTTTGTGAGATCGTGGTACTTCCCGGGTACGACCTGCCCATTAGTGCAATAATGAAGACTGTTGTTTGTATAAAACCTACACTACCCTGCCCTACCACAGTTTCGTATAAAAGTGTTGTATATCCGTACTTTTTACAATATTTTTCAGTTCCAAGCGGAATAGTTGGTGTGTGTGTTACGCATAAATGATATTAATCAATTCGTGTTGACCATAACACGTCCGTTGAGTTTCATAAAGCATTCAACGTGTAAACAAACTGTATATTAAAGCGGCTTAAGCGTTGCCAAGTTTTGGACCATTTGTCTTTCGTTGTTTTATCAACTGTATATATCGGTAACGAGTTATCGCCTATATGTCGTTGTTTATGTTGTTAATAGATACATTTTCTTTGCCACGGTTTTAACAATGCTTATTTTTCTTGAGTATCCTAGATATCCTACGTTTACATATTCAATCATCTGTCCTTGTGAACCTTTTATCTCGCTTCCTAAAACTAATGCTTTTATTATGTAGTAAATAGATTAAAACTTCTTTATCTTATTTTCTTAATTCTACGTACGCTTTGCTGCTTTCAACTTTTTGAAGTGAAACTTTTGAAGTGAAACTTCTTTATCAGGGTTGGAAAAAAAATTTGTGTGACATTTTTCCGTTACGCGCCATCTTTTTTTTATCTTAAAATGTTCCTCTAACGCCATCTAGTGTTAGGAAGTGGAGTGAATAGGGGGTTTTATGTCGTCTTTATTCTTTAGTGGTTTTAATAGTTGACGCTAGATGGCGTTAGTTCCTTTGTGTGTTCATAACAATATATATATATATGTTATATTAAAGTGATCAGCAAAATCAAAGGGTTTATTTTAATTCTAATTCTAAAATGTAAACAATATATTTCGTATTTCAGTTACCATAAGCCATTAATAACACAAATATATAATAACGACATCAATGATAGTAATAATTCTATTACAATTAATGAAATTCAATAATAATCTTTGTAGTAATGACAGTGCTAGCTCTAATACTTCAGAGCACGACACTGTGTCGACTTCCTCTTCTCCAAAGGCAGGCACCGCCCACCGTGACCTGACTGCGCCTTCCACCGAAGGCACAATCTGAAGCTGACGCTCTCGAATCTGATGCTCTTCGAAACCTCGATCGGCTCCTGGAACTTGCGGTTGCGACGTCGATCCAACGTCCGCAAGTTCGGTTTTCCAAAAAAAACTTCACTCACAACACTCGCGCGCGAGTCGAATGTCTGCCTTCTACTCACTGGCTGGCTGACTATTTGGCAACGAAGGACCATGTACAAATTCAAAGTGGTTGTATTTTGGGTCCGTGAGGTTAATTGAAATAAACAAGGTTCACGTTGCAAGTTTTTTAATCAACAATTTTTGCGGACCCTCATACTAATTACAACGGTCAAACCATAGTGTGTTTTAATTTATTACTAACGCCACCTATGTATTACAAATAAGAAACTAAATATTATATATATATAAGCTAAAATGAAATAATTGTACAATTTGTATTTATGTCTATGATAATAAAAGCCTTTTATTACACTTTATCTAATTTAACTTTATTTAACCAATTTCTGTAAAGTTGCATATAGTAAATAATTTTTTGAAAAATAACGTCATAAAAAAGTTTCACTTCTTACGAGTGTACGCTAGTTTAACAATTTAGATGAAATCGTGCAGTATACCTTTATATAGTTTTGGATCATATACGGCAAACCCAAATGACGCTGTTAATTTGCATGGGTGTTTGAATTATTCATAACTACTAAAAGACTCGATTTCCTTATTTATAATCAAAATGACGGACTTTTACACCAAATGGTACATGTACCGTGTTATAGGCTTTTAATTATTGTCTTTTTTAATAGCGTTATCCTCGTATGCTCTCATGATACAAGTGATATAACACTAAATGCAGTCAATGCGTTACAGATCAGTAGTGGAGGCGACGGACGTGCAGTTGAACATGCGCGTGGGCATTCACACGGGGCGCGTGCTGTGCGGCGTACTGGGTCTGCGCAAGTGGCAGTACGACGTATGGTCCAATGACGTCACGCTCGCCAACAACATGGAGGCCGGGGAGAGCCTGGGTACGTTTTCGAGATAATTTTAATTAACACTTTGTCCATCATAACAAACCTTTTTAAATATATATTTTTAGGACCAAAAATGGTAAACGAGCAAGCGGTACTGATGTTAAATATAACTTTCGCTGCAGTTTATTTGCCAGCCTATAGCACGGTAGTCCCATTTACCTCATTCACACTAAGTCGGCCTTCCCTGATGCCATAACACAGGTAGGTCCGTTCACAAAGCAGAAGCTGCCTCGTGGCTCCAGCATTAAATAACCTACATTTAATATCGCGGTTTATTTACTTAGTGGTAGGGGCTAGAAGAAGAGATGCCGTTGTTGGGAAGTATCCCGGCCTCGCAAAAGACCGACGTGAAGTGAAAGCATCACACTTACGTTTCGACTGGTGAGTGAGGAAATCGGGTTCAACTCTTTTTTAAATGTTGCAAGGCATCTTCAACCCAGCAGCTGTTGCGGATGTGTATTGTAGGTGGTACTCAGTTAGCATGAGTTCTCGTTTGTCTTTTTCTAATTAAAAAAAAAAAAAACATTTGCGAATTTCAATCTCAACGACTGGTTAATAAGATTCCACTTTATAGAATTTATTACATGTGTAATGTCAGTTAAGCGAATGATGTTTCTTAGTGGGCGTAAGAGTGAAATATTAATGACTGCCTAATTATTCGTGGCTGGATTATAATAAATGTGGTATACTACAGGTGATAAGAGATTTTTTTGTAAAATCCCATTGCCGGAGCCCTGTGCTAATTCCAACTGTTTGTTGACTGTAACTGTCATACGAAACAACCCTTAGGAATATTTGAAACTGTGTTTGATTAATAATGCCGTCGTAAATGTCATTGTACTAGAAATCATTGACAATACTCGAGTGAAATTGATAATGTCTGATAGGCGTTAATTTATTATGACTATTACTTGAGCCCTTCACATTAAACTGTCAGATCGACATTACCGTCCGGTTATGTTGTTGTCAGCAATGATGTTTAATAATATAGACGACGCATGTCCACACTGAGTGGCGTTTAAAAATTATTCCGCTTTAAATTATATGACATATGTAATTGAATGTGACAGATAATATAGAACATTGGTTGTCAGTATCAAATATGATTTCTTACTTATTTGTAGTGGAAAGCGGGGTCGCTCAGGGTACGTGCGTTCGCTTTAAATTCAGTAAACTCGAGCAACCCGAGTTCAAATCACGGTGCCAGCACAAATGAAATTGTTGACGGTAAATGTAAATAACTTTAACTCCGGCGTAATTCAAATCAAATAAATTTTAAACGATAGAGAAAAATCACTTATGAATTTATCAACAAGCAGAATTCGGCGGTCGCTTATAGTTTTCGAAAAAATAAATAATGAAATAGTGTGATTTGTACTTTAGAAATCCGCCATTTTTTTGTTGTCAATATGTCAATTCAGCTCGTATTTCTTGGTGGTCATAAAAAAAAAACCTAACATCGAAGGTTAAGGCGGGAGCTCCGCTCCCGCCTGAACCTTCTAACCTAATCTATCCGAGTCGGATTCGCTCTGTGTCGGTTCTGTGATTCATTAAATTAAAAAAAATCGGAATATCGATACGTGTATGTTGTCGCCCGCTTCCTATATTTATCATGTTGGCAGAACTGTGTATTGAGTTTTTGAAGTCAAACAAATAAAATGGTGGATTTCTTAGTACAAAAAACAAGTTTTAAATATTTTTTTTCTCGAAAACTATAAGCGACCGCCGAATTCTGCTTGTTGATTAATTCATTAGTGATCCCTCTCTATCGTTTAAAATTTATTTCAATTGAATTACGCTGGAGTTAAAGTTATTTACATTTACCCTATTTCTGTTTACCCGAATAAAGTTACTTTTCAATAAGCGATTTTAATTTCATTGCATATTCAATTGATAACTTGCTTCATATTATCATCATACATCACAACCAATCTTATGAATATAAATATGTCTCGAAATATATCGTCTATTCCATTCAAGCCAATCTTGTCCTTTAAACGAGCAATTCTTGTATATATATATATATATATGTATATATATATATATATATTTATATATATATATATATATATATATATATATATATGTATATATATATATACAGACGGCCGCGGTTCGTATCACGATCATTTACACACTTATTAGTCCTCCAGGTACTAATGATTTAAATACGTAGGTACAGAAACTTAAGAAAATTTTGAAACTTCAAAAAGGAAGCTCGACAGCTGTGTGACATTTCTTTTCCATTTCTATGCATATGCATAAATGAAGAAATTAATTTGGTTACGCACAACCATATTGTAGCTGTAACTGTAACTGTTTTCCTGAAATTGACTTTCAACATAATAATATTGTCTATTATCATTAATATTAGATATAAATATTACTATTTATAAAAAATCACTCTCTAAATACTCTTGGATAGCCCTAAATAAATCTAAGTGCCACAGGAATTTTGGCCGACAGATTAAATTTAATTATTTATTTACGTTATTTGTGATTCTTATTGATATCTCTTCCTGTCCTTTCAAACTAAATATTTTTTAAATAACATGATCACAATGTACGAAAATCTCGTGTAACGACTTTATAAACTTGTTTATTAATTACAATCGTTATTTGTATAATTGATTACAGCCGTGTGCACGTAACGCAAGCAACGCTAGAGTGCCTCGGCGGGGCATACGAGGTGGAGCCGGGGCACGGAGCTAGTCGCAATGCCTACCTGAGGGACCACTCCGTGCAAACCTACTTCATTATACCGCCGCCGAGACGACGAAAAGTTGGTTCACTGAATATACATCTTACATACGATTTAAATACATTCAACGATTTTGTGTTTCCCTCTATCCACTATCTGTTTATTTATGAAGGCAAGCGGTATTCGGTATAGGTTTCTGTGAACGTTTTACTCTTATGTTTACTTCAACCGATTAGATTTTTTAAACTGTGTTGGGAAAAGGAACGGAGGCTCTGTCTCAATCTTGGTAACAAGATTTGTTTATAATCATCAATTCACAAGGTACATACACAAAGACAGAAAAATATAACCCTGTAGGAATGGATTTTTTCCTTATAAACGACTTTTCGAAATTTATAAATAGTGTCCGAAGATTTGTTATTTACATTTTTATCTATGCAGAGAGGCAACATGTAAGAAAATATGAATGTGTGTGTGTTCGTTAAGCATATGACTCGAGTGCCAAAGGGCAGTCGTGTGAACAATGATATTAAAAGGAATTCAGTGGAAATATTTATTGTTCCAGTGAGCAATAAGCGAGTGAAAATATACTTTTGACGAAAATAAAACATAATCACAAGTCTTATTAACTTTAGAGTGTAGTTCACAAATTGTGAAATGTGTAATTAAATATCCAATACGAAAATATTATATATTGAAACCTTCCCGGGAATTGTGCTAATAAAGTAAAAAATCGCAATTTCGATTGCAATTGCGGATTTTCGCAAAGCTGCTTCTCTCGTTATTTTATTTTAAGGAACATGATTCACTCCGTGGCAAGACTAGTCAGCTCAATCTGATTTCAAGCAATGACTACCGCGCAAGGACTCTACCGCCCATGGACTCTACCGCCCATGGACTCTACCACCCATGTGGCATTGTATATGCGTAGCTAACCTTTGATAGGATGGGCCCCGGTTATCTCACTCCCCGGGATAATCGTCAAAGTATAACACTTCTACTTCACGCCATCGACTTTAATAAATGTTTCTATTTTTGAATTGCTATTTGTACATGCAACTGAAAAGCGATCTGCTCAGATCAGGAGTCTTCGTCAGTATGTTTACTAATTTATTTATTGGTGGATTAAACCGAATATAATATATAATAAACTTATTAACAAATCGCACTGCCAATAACAGATCCTATTTTTTTAAATAATTCAATTTGTCGTTTGCCTTGCATACAGAGGATTCAACATTGAAAACATTAGAAAAATTAAAAATACAATAAAGACTAACCAACTAAAAAAACCAGCCAAGTGAGAGTCGGACTCGTGCACAAAGCGTTCCGTACCATTATGTATAAAAATTGCAAAAAAAGTCATGTTGTAAGCTCCACTTAAATATTTCTTATTCTGTTCTTTAGTATTAATTGTTATAGCGGCAACAGAAATTTCAACTGTCTAACTATCACGGTTCATGAGATGCCTGGTGACAGACTGACGTACAGACAGACGGAGTTTTAGTAATAGGGTACTGTTTTACCCTTGGTGTACGGAACCCTGAAAACACTTTTTTTTTGGGGGGGTTACTGATGCGTTGACAAACTTTTCGGAAAGTGTGTCTCCGGCTACCTCACTAACCAGACGAAAAGTATTTGTCATACTTCCACTTAACGCTGGTCTTCTGTGAGGTCGTGCTACTTACCCGGACGGGCCTGCCCCTTCGTGCTGATTGTCACAACAGTCGAGGCTGCTGCGTGGCCCTACCACCGTTTACAAAACATTCAAGCTAACCAAACTTCAATCTTCTTATCTGTTGCGTGTATTTCAGATGTGCTTATCAGCCGGCGTAGGTCTTGGCTCGGGGTCGCGTCGCAAGCTGTCATTCAAGAACGTGTCCAACGTTGTGGTGCAACTCCTGCACTCGATCAAATTCAACGTTGACGTCCCGTTCTCCAACATGGCCGCCTCGCCACAGGAGCTCAAGGCCAATGCCGCTAGGAAGGTATTCATTCTAACGTTCTCATCCGCAGACACTCGTTAACTCTTGGAAATATTTATGTATTTATTGATCAAAACCTATTTTCTTTTTGCACTTTCATATTTTTATGAGTCTTGTACTTTACTGGACATGACTAAATGATACAAGGTCCTTGTCCAATTCTTTATCTTGCTCCTTGAAATGTATCATACAAGTGAATAATATTTTTTTGTCGGAGAAACAGTTCTGCACGTAAAGGTAAGTGTATGTTCCTATATTTTCAATGATGTCTATAACTCTTTAACATTTCGATTTGATTTGTATTCAATTATGGTAGACGATAGAATAAAAATGGTATGAAATCAGTAAACTTTGAAATTAATATACTACTACAGTTGTTAAACAAAAATCACATGAAACCGTAGAACAAACGTAGATTGATTAATAAAAATTTTCATAGTCATCTTAGTTTCATTATTTGTTTCGTAATAACTTATGTAATTACATATTCCATATTCAAACAGAAAGTACCTATCGTAGACAACAATTACAAAACCCTACAATTATCACATACAGATGACTGATAGGGATTTTTTACATACATACCAAATATTTGTCCTATTTATAAACAGTAGTAAAATGGGCTACATTCACGACCGTACCGTCGATAGCAGCGCGGGATGGGGTCGATTGACAGTCGTCTCCCCGAGCGTCGGTGTACAGTGAGGGCGTTTAGTGCCGCCGTGTGGTGCGAGAGGGGTATAGGCGTGGGGTACTGTGCCAGGTGCTGGACTTGCGGCGCGCGCTGCACGCGGAGCCGGGCTCGGCGGAGGCGCTGCGCCTGGCCGCGCTGCGCGGCGACGACGTGAGCGCCGCGTCCGCCGCCCCCGCAGCCCCCGCGGCCCCCGCCGCCGCCCCGCACCACCACACCTTCGACGCAGTCATGCAGCACCACGCCCTGCGCACGCACCCCACGGTCGCCCCCACAGCCACGCACCCAATTCGAGCGAACGCACCCGCGCCATATCTGTGCGCCAAACTTAAATGCACCTCCGAATTTCTTCCGAGTCGCGGTACCTGGTTTACTGGAAGGCTTATATGCCGCTTGCATGCGTGGGCGGAGTATCGCTCTCCTGCTCCTCAATCCTGCTTTAGTCTAAATTGCTCCCTGCGTTGCTCCCACTACACGTTTGAGTTGTGGTTGCGAATATGATTAACATTAAACGATCTCTTGACTTCAAAGAATGACGGTACACGCACAGAATTAATTTCACCGAGGCGCATTTAAGTTTATCACGACCTACACACTATCGAAGCGAAAACAATTGCGCTATTTTCATTTTCAATTGGCTCAATGAAAATGTAATGTTGAAAATAAATGTAAATGAAATGTTATGTCGGAAACCTAAAACTTCAGATTTTTTTTTGAAATCTTAATAATTGCCATAACGTTAGCATTAACATAAATAGCGCATTGTTGTAATTTCGATACAGGAAGATATGCAAACCAAAGAATATTCGTGTATATAGAAAAAAAAATTGTTATTCGATGATTCTAGATAGTCTTTGGTTTTCATTTTTTTTATCGAATAAACTGTAAAAGGCGAATATATATGTATACACAGCTTACACAAGACGCGGCTGCGTACATTCGTGCATGGGACACAAAATATACATCTCCGTCAAAATGACATCACAAAACTAGAAATCATGCATATTCGAGAATAATATAAGTGTGATCAGAATCTGGTTTATATAAGTTTATCACAATTATTGTAAGCCATGTTCCTATCACTCATACAAATTTGTTTTTCGCTTAAGAAACTTGTACCTGAAAGGCTTCGTAACACAATTACGATGTGTTTCATATGAGTGCCGAATGATAATATCGCTTAATGGTTTTCCAGTAGATAGTTTGATTTTTGAGTGGTATAAGAACTAAATCTGTGCTGCTTTCTCTATCAAAATTTGCGGTTTGCACTGAGGCTTACTCACGAGGACTACTGAAATGATTTCGCTGGGAGTGTCACCACGATTCTGCTTTGCACTAAACCCGACTTATGGCATTACCTGGTTGAATACTATACTGCCCCTTTTCATAACTAGATCATCCTTTGTTACGAAGTTAACGTTGCACATAGCCTATTTCAAAATCGTATCCATTCCGATTGTTGCCTCCATCCTACGTTTAAGTTGCTGGTCCATTCAAGCTTTCGTATATTGGTCGATCTTCGTATTCGTGATTTCATAGATGTTTAATTTAAACGAATGTTTCTATCCATATTCTTTTCAACCTCCTCTCTCCGTTTACAACCTTCTTTACAACCGTTCAAAGCTGAAAATTATTATGCATCGTCCCGTTGTAAGTAATATGTACCGTTTACAAATCTGTTGGTGTATTTTTATTTATTTCATTTATAGTAGTTGTCTTTGAAATTTACTCGAACCTCGAAAGGTGTCATCATCAGCGACTAATATGCGACGTCTGCTCATTGTTTTTCAGATAATCCGACCATGGACATTAGTTCCACAACAAATGCCCGATGAAACAGTAAGCGCGCACCAAAAAGTTGTTGTGTATTATTATTTTACTCCCCCGTTCACCGGGCGGCACTGACACCCCATTTCGATAGGTACTCGATGTATGTTCGTGGACCGCCTTCCCAAAGATAAATGCGCCAGCTATAACATAAGAGAGACGTGTGCTTAAATCTACAACCGTTATACCACACACCACCACTGTCTCTTATCGAAACTAATTCGCTTTCGGAACTGTTGTGAAATGTAATTATTTTGTTCTTAAGATTGTTTTGACTCGATTTGATTTTTTTTTGTTTGATAATAAAGCTGAACGCACCTGAATTGTGTTTCACTCGCTGCCCCGATTATCCACCTCGAGCACTAGAGCATGGCATGGTCCTTTCGGCTAATTTGCATGCACTAATTTTCATAACACTCGAATGATATAATATAAGTATTGCTTGAACATTTCTAATACTGCTTCATTTAGTGTTTTAATTCTCTATATGGAGGAAAAAATGTTACAATAATGATCTATCCCTAAATGCAAATGGCAGTAATAAAGGAGAAGCTGTGTGAAGTGTCACAGGAAATTTATATTGGAAAACGAAAAAATTTTTACAACACTTTATACAGGTTAAATTTTCTAAGACTCGTTAAAGTTTTTCTCTGTATCTTTCTCTTTATCTATTTATTTCATACTGTATTCTATTGTTATTCTAATGAATGCGATGCTGCTTCGGATTCTGGAACTTCCCCAACTAAGGTCAGTTCGATAACTGGATTGAGCATGGTTGGACTCGGCATGCGGTGGACCCAACGTGCACCCCGTCTTTACACCACCTACAAATTTGAACCTTCCGCCTGAATACGTTTCAAATGTCGTACCCCCCCCCCCCCCCCCCCCCCCCGCCCCTCACTCGTCGTTCGTCGGAATAAATTCTTAGGTGCCTTACGACGCAGCTCGATCGGCCAATTGAACTGTCCGATGTCATTGCAGAATAAAGTGACGGAGAAGTTCAAGAGGCCGTTGAAAAAGCGCCACTCGTCCGTGTACCACCAGCCCACCAACCGCGTGAACAAGTACTTGGCGCAGGCGATAGACGCGCGCTCAGTGCACCGAGAGAAGGCGACGCACGTCCATCTGCTGACGCTCTGCTTCAAGGACGCTGAAAAGGAGGCGCAGGTACTTTGTTTCAATTTCTACGAAAAGATTCAAATGATTAATCACCGGTCGGGGTAGCTCTTTTCTTAGATACGCGCCGCATACTGTTTCTATGAATTGTCGTCTGGACGAGACAAGCGTGTAAACAGATAGATCAATAGACTCCTACAAAGGATATAAATAAATGTATTTTAAAAAATACGTTACATTTACAAATAATATAAACAAAAAACTATAATTAAAATATGCAAAACTTGTTCATTATAAACCGTTAATAAACGCAAAAGAGAGCGATCTATGGCTTGGATCCGCGTACGGCATCTTTTTAAGCAAATGAACATCTTTACGCTCCTGTCGCTATACATACTCGAGAATATTGTGTACATACGAAAAAATATACATACACCTTTTCCAAAAAAAAACGTTTTTTTTCTAACTAAAACCAGGAAAACGTACGAGTATTAACTTACATAATAAAATAGGTGACTTCCACAAACTATTAAATGTAAACAACTACAAACTTTTTGTAAAAGTTACACTAATGGAAAGGGCCGATTTATAATTTCGAAGAATATATTGAGGACAAGGATGAGTGGAAATGACTCTTGCTCTGCACTTGCAAGGCCGGTGCTAGTTTTAAACTTATGCTTTTGTGTACTTTTAAAAATCAAAAACAAAAAAAAAGATAAACCGAAATGAAGGACAGGTCTAGTTTAGTGAACCGTTGCCGTTTAAAAAGAGCTTAAAATAATAGTATATTGAATAAAGAAACTTTGACACGGAGGAAGATATTTTTTTATAACTGATATTACGCCTTCAGTCCATAGACTATTAAAGCTTCATCGAACGCAGAGCCGGTGGGCTAGCCAGAACCCATGGGTTTGAGCCCCTCCTCAGTGGGTAGGGCCGCGCATGTACTCATCCGTGCGTTAATTATGACATATCAGCAGCTTCGGCTATTCCACGAATGGGCAGGCTAGTCCCGATAAGTACCACAACCTCACAGAAGACCGGCGTAAAGTGGAAGTATAATACTTTCGCGTTTCGTCTGGTGTAGCAGATGTCCATGGGCGGCGGTGTTTACTTAACATCAGACGAACCGTCTGCTCGTTTGGCAACTTTGCACATAAAAAAAAGGTGGAAGAGGATACAGTTGATTAACGTCATCTGGCGTCGTCGCAGTACCGCGCGTCGACGGACGGCGGGTGGGCGGGCTCGCTGGGCGCGGCGCTGTTCTCGCTGGCGGCGGGCGGCGCGCTGCAGGCGGCCGTGCTGCCGCGCACCACCATCCTGCTGCTGCTGTTCGTCACCGCGTTCGCGTGGTCGGCCGCCGTGCTGGCGCTGACGCTCGCAGCGCGCCTCCGACTGGTGCCGTGCGACGTGTCGCGCCCGTTCGCGCTGCGCAACGCGATCACCACGTTCACCGTGGTGCTGGGCTACGCGGTGGGGCAGGTCAACGTCGTGAGTACGCCTGCGACTCAACATGTTAGGGGTACGGTTCGAAGTGAGCTGCGAGCTGAAGGAGCGGGCGGCTCGGCTGGGGCCATTTCTCTGGACGCGGTGGCGCGGCGGCTTAGCTCCTGGCTTTAAGCGCCAGCAATGAGCTCTCTCGAACTCACCCCCCCCCCCCCTCCACATTACCATTTTTGAAGTTAGCCGGTCGCTATTCGGACAACCGTAACAAGCGGAAAGATATAGCTCCATTTTCCTCTCCCCTGCCGCTTTTGATGTTAGCAGGTCGCTATCCGAGCAACCGTTATAAGCGGACAGGTATAGACAATTTTTCCCCACTACGCCGCTTTTGATGTTTGCCGGTCGCAAACCGGGCAGCGGCACAAGCGGACAGTGCTAGCTGACGCTGTTACTCAGGTGACGTGCCGCGAGATGGACGTGTGCCGCAACCTGACGGAGGGCGCGGGCGCGGCGGAGGCGCGCTCGGCGGCGCTGTGGGGCGGCGGCGACCACCGCGCGTGCCCCGTGCCGCTGTACATCGCGCTCGGCTGCTGCCTCAGCGTGCTCACCGTGGCCGCCTTCCTGCGGCTGCCGATCCTGGTGAAGGGCGCGCTGCTCGCGCTCATGACGGCCGGCTACGTCGCCGTGATGCTCGCCTACCACCGCGACCTGTTCGACTGCTACGACATGATGACCGAGTGAGTGCGTTTGGTCGGCCGCTGGGTTGTGGTATGCTGCTCGCAACGAGCGGGACTGCGGATGCGTTGCTAATCGTTAAGAAGATGGGCTCCGGCTACTTTACTTAACAGAAGAAATTCAGCCATAATAGAAATGACTCAAAAGACATTAACATTCTTGCGACAGTTTATCTTAATACAAAGCAATACATTGCGCATTACTTTTCATGGTTTATATAGGGAAAACGTTGAAAGCGCTTCCACTTTAACAAAACAATTTATGTCAAAGTATACGGTGAATAATTTATGTATGCAATATGATATCGGCCATATGGCTCACGTAGCAGTGACTGCCTATAAACGGTGTCATCAACAGGTCAAAGTGATTGTGTTGAATTCATTTGGATTCAACTCGAATGCTGTATGAAAATGATAACTAATACCATCCAATCCATTCAATCATGTTTTTACTTGTGGAATGAGTCATCAGTCGTAAGGTGCAACATAATCATTTCATTGTTACACATACATCCGATATGCATTGAATATAATGTATGGTATTTTATGTACCACATAAGTATTAAGTATGTATTGTTAAATATTCGACCACTCGTCTTCGTCCAACCCTCAGGTAAATTGACATACCGCATGACACCAATTATCGTTAAATTTCTGGAAATAATTTACACTAGGTTTACAATACACGAACTATTCAACTTTTTTAATAATAAGGCGGATAGCATAACAAGGCCAATCAGCAGCTTCTGTTGCATGAATGGGCAGGCTCGTCCGGGTAAGTACCACGACCTCACAGAAGACCAGCGTAAAATGGAAGTATGACAAATACTTTCGCGTTTCGTCTGGTGAGTGAGGTAGCCGGAGCCCAATTTTCAAAAGATTGTCAACGCATCTGTAACCCTCGGGTGTGGCAGATGTCCATGGGCGGCGGTATTCACTCACCATCAGGTGAACCGTCTGCTCGTTTGGCAACTTTTCACATAAAAAAAAATCACTTTTCAGCATTTCACATAAAAAGTACGTATGCGGTGTTATGTACTCCCAAGATACAGGCACTGCCTAGTTTGGAAGCCACATTGTACTCAATGTCTTTTTCATATTGTAACTAACATTAACTAGATATAAATGCTCTGTATTGATATTATTATAGAAAATAAATAAATATCATATCATTTAATTCGGCAGTCTTATCCCTTGCAGGGTCGGCGCGGTGGGGTCGGCGTGCGCGTCGTGCCTTTGGACGCTGCTGTTGGCGTTAGGGGTGCTGCTGCACGCGCGCCAGACTGAGTGGACAGCCCGCCTCGACTTCCTGTGGCAAGCGCAGGCGCGCGACGAGAAGCGCGATATGGACGCACTGCAGGTCATTGACCCTAACGTACCGGACTTACTTCCGTGTTCTAATTGCAAGTTGGACCGATCTTCGTGGATGCCCTACAGTTTACTGACCCTGACGTATCGAACTTAATTCCGTGTTCTAATTGAAAGTTGGGTCGATCTTCGTGAATGCTTTGGAGGTCACTGACCCTGACGTATCGAACTTAAGTCCGTGTTCGTATTGCGAGTTGGGTCAGTCTTCGTGGGCGCTCTGCGGGTCCTTGACCCTGACGTATCGAACTTAATTCCGTGTTCTCAGTGCAAGTTAGGTCGGTCTTCGTGGATACTCTGCGGGTCACTGACCCTGACTGCACTTAATTCCGTGACGGTATTCTTTGTTGGGTCAATGTACGATTGGAGGTTGCCGAAAATGTATTCGTTCATCGAAGCACAACAGCTTAACTAGCTCTTCGTTTACTACAAGTTGTCAGTTGAAAGATTACTTTTACTACATCAATAGTTACTTTTACCCTGTTCCGGGGTTTCTAAATCGATTTAATTCGAAAAATATTGTAACCAAATGCTTTTGAAACATTTCAATTAATGTTAAAAGTATATCTAATTACTGAGGTACATTGTGGGGATATCTTTTGATAATTATTATATAACGTATGATAAAATTATTCACAATACCAATGCAAGAGTCTAAACCGCTCTGTATCTTTGAAAAGGTTTCTACGCCGCCGAAGTTACGGGGAATGGTATAAGGCAAACAAGTTAAAGAAAAAATTTTAAGAAAGGAAAATTTGGGTAATTTTGGGTTTAAAAATAAAAGTTAATTTGCAATATGTGTTAATATTTTATTTCAGGCATCTAACAGGAGAATCTTGTTCAATCTGCTCCCGGCGCACGTAGCGACTCATTTCTTGGACAATCAGTTCCGAACTAACATGGTAATTACTTAAAAAAAATATTCATTCTATAACATTTCATCATTGATTTCGCTGATTTTTACTCGTAATGAACTCCATTTTTGCTCTCATCTACGATACTTGCTTAGCTTCACGCACTTCCAACTGCATGTGGAACCACAAACACCGCCATAAACAAGCATACATTTGCAAGTTTCATATATATAATAATCACTCACATTGCGCTTCGCATTATACATTTCGCACACGGATAGGGGCAAGTGACAGATTTTGATGTTAAATTTCTGGCTGATGATGAAATAAAACTCATGAGTAAAACAATACAAAATATATTTAAAAGACATATTTTGTCTCTCAATAGCTAACTCTCAAAAATATCAACTTGTCGATTATTCTATAAAATACTATAACGGTCACAAATATATTGAGTCTTTTGGCTCAGTTATTTTAGTTTTTTTTTCTTATGATAAACAATTGAGTTTTATCGAAATTAAGAAGGGAAACAATATAAAACTATCCAACTTAGTGTTATCGACATAAACACAGAAGACTATACAGTTACAACTACATTCTCGATCAGTCTGAAACACGTGTAAGTAGAACGAGTAGATGTTATACGGAACGGAGTAGTCACTTGGTCCTTACGTGTCCTGGCTTGCGCACGCGGACGTTGGTGACCAGAAGTGGGGTTGGCAGGACCTGTACCACCAGTCGTACCAGCGCGTCGGCGTAGTCTTCGCCTCCATCACCAACTACCACGAGTTCTACATGGAGCTGGACGGGAACAACCAGGGCATGGAGTGTCTGCGGCTGCTCAACGAAATCATTGCGGACTTCGACGAGGTATGTAATAAATCTAGTTTTTAATTCTTTTTTACTTCAATTTCTTTTTCATTTGTGAAATCATAGCTATATTTTTTTATTCCTACGAAGCACCGAACTTTATTCGTGTAAAAAATGTTAAATAAGTAAGACCAAGGTCTGAACGGGAATGGGAACTTGAATAAAATTATATTTAAGAGGGGTTTCCATACAACAGACATGATATTTTGCCGTTTTTGAAGATCATGGTACGAAACCCTTCGTGCCCGAGTCCGACTCGTACTTGTCCTTTTTTTCTTTCACTTAAATCTGATCTCGCCTGGGCGCATCTATTACTAATTATATATATGATTATAACTAATGATATATATGATTATAATACTATCAATAAATAATTGGTTTTACAAAACGAGTTATGAAAATTAATAGTTCGTTAATTTTTCTAACAACATGATTTATAAAATCTTTTCTTATATTAGAGTTTAACAGTATAAGCCTATGTAAGTCGCGATAATGACATCTTGCCTATTGTAAGAATATCCTCTCTTCGGCGTGCTGTAACTTTTATTTTTCTGCTGATATAATTTCTCTCTTTCACAGCTGTTAGGCGAGGATCGTTTTAGTCCGATAGATAAAATCAAAACCGTTGGATCCACGTACATGGCGGCCGTGGGTTTAATACCGGATAAAAAAATGACAGATGATCCCAGCACCAGAAAACATATGGCGACCCTAGTGGAATTTGTCTTCGCGATGCGCGACAAACTTAAAGACATCAATGATAACTCGTACAACAACTTTATGCTGCGTGTTGGTAAGTTTTTTCTTTTTATTAAATAAATTATTATGTACGAAATCTTTTCGCTTATATTTTAACATTTGCAGGTATTAATGTCGGCCCGGTAGTGGCCGGTGTCATCGGCGCACGGAAGCCGCAGTACGACATTTGGGGCAACACGGTGAACGTCGCTTCGCGAATGGACTCCACCGGTCTGCCGAACCACACCCAAGTCACCGAGGAGGTGTTCCAAGTCCTGAAGGACATGCCGTACCAGTTCGTGTGCAGGGGCAAAGTGAAGGTCAAGGGCAAGGGCGAGATGACGACGTACTTTCTGACCGACCGGGCGCCGGACAACGGGAGCGCTCACAATCCGACCAACAGCCAGCCTCAGAACCCGCCGAGCACGTACGGCGGCGTCGCTACGCCCCTGGCGATGCTGCAGAACTCCGCTAGGCGGGCGGCGGCCCAGCCCCGACTGCCGCCGCTGCGGGAGTCGACGGGCGCGGGGGAGAGCGAGCCCCTGCTCCCGTCCAACGGCCACCAGAGCAACGGCAACAACCACAAGGGAACCAAAGGCCGTCGCGGTAAGGAGCAGGAGGAGGCGCCGCCGTCGCCGCCGCCCCACGGCGTCTCCGGCAATCCAAGATGGCCGCCGCCGCGCGCCCTGGTGCCGCCCTGGCCGCGGCCGCAGGAGCAACGGCCGCCGGTCGCCCACAAGCGGCGGCCGCCCACCAGGCTGCCGAGGCCGAGGTCCAGCGAGAGCCTGCCGCTGGCGCGCAGCCCGCGCGTCCACTCGTCGGCCGACGAGCTCAGCTCGCTCACGCGCTCGCCCAGCCTCAGCTCGTCCGACGAGAGCTACTCGCGCACCACGGACGCGTCCCCGTCCCCGCCCCGGCCCGCGCCCTGGCTGCCCCCGCCCAGGGCGGCGCGCAACGAGCACGCGCCCGCCTACGACTACCCGGCCGCGCGGCCCAACAAGCCGAACGCGAGCATCCTAAACGAAATCTACGCGAAACACAAGATAGCGAAGAAGCCCGTCCTAGAGGATAAGATCCTCGACGACATCGGCTATCAGAAGGATGAGGAGAAGCTGCATAGGAGCATCCTGAACATGCTTCAGACGTCCGCGAAACGCGACGGTTGCAGCCAGACCGACAAAAAGGACGTGGCCGGTCGGTTGGCGCCTAGGACCAGTTCGTTCTCGAGTTCGGGCAGCAGACCGAGCAACTTGAAGCATTTGAACCATGACAGTAGAGAGGTTTTCACCAAGAGGAGTCCGACGGACGTGGCATGCGTGCCGCCATTCGAGAGAGAGATACAAAGGCTGCTAGACGACAAGAATATTATTATGAATAATGCAGTAAAGAACGAAAGAAAGGATCTGAATCTTGAATTAAGGTAATATTATATTATTTTAATGGTAAATGGTAATATTATATATTTATATAATATTATTTTTTTAATTACTTTTCAAGAATCTGCACTTAATAAGTTTTAAAATTGCAACTAACAATTTCATCAGTGCTAGCACCGACGTATCCGGACAATGAACTATCACGAGAGCATTACTGACAATAACGATTTATAAAATCTGCGTTTTTCATCAGTTTTTTCCTCTATTATTCATGGACATATTATGTAGCTATATTGAGATGTCATTTAGCATTTATATAATTACTTTTTCTTATGTTAGTTTTAATAATTATTCTATTCTTTTTCTTATTATATTTAAAAAAGTAAATTACAAGAAATCAATTCAGACTTTCTTTTGTGCTTAAGTTTAAAAGAACTCCGCTAGTTATTTCTTCGTTCTGCGTCTGGAGCTATATTTAAAAACCAATTTATTTAGTTGGGAGCAAAACTGCAACACGAGCGTGGGTTTTAAAAAAAGAGTACAGTCCGCGCGTCCTGTACTCTTTTTTATGTGAGAACGTGGCAAGCGAGCTGGCTGGTTTACCTGATGTTAAGTGATAACCGCCGCGGATTTCATATGCGTTGCCACCTTTTAATAAAGTGGGCGCCGGCTCCCTCTCACCGGCGAAACGCAGAGGTGTAACGCTTCTACTTCACGCCGATCTTGCAAGGTCGCGGTACTCCTCCGGCCGGCCGTAGCCATTCGTGCACCAGCGAAGACTGCGTAACACCTACCTAATTGTTCCGCTGTGCGTAACTGAGCGCCTGTGCCTGCCCGTTCGTGCATCGGCGAAGACTTGCCTAACACGTACCCACTCGTGCTTGTGCGTAACCGTGCGCCCCGGCAGCCGCGGCCCGCACCCGCCGCCGGAGGGCGCGCGCGGCGCGAACAACAACAGCAGCCCGCTGCACGCGGTGGGCCTGGCGGCGATAGCGCAGCTCGCCCGCCGCGAGCCCAGCCCCGCGCCCGCCCACTTCCCCGGCGTGCTGCCCACCGACGTGGTGGTGCGGCTGCCCTCGCCGGAACGCCAGCGGGGGCAAGTGGACAACTTTTGTTCCTTTTCTCTTTTTAAAAGTTATCCCAGTGCCGGAGCAACCACGTAGCATAAGTAGCAATTGCTACGGGCCCCGCATGTTTCAAGCCACTCATCTTCTGCCTGAGTCTTAATTTTCTCGGGTGAAACTTATTAAATAAGTAACTTATTGAAATGAGTTGCAACGAGCCCCGCACTTGATTAATCCGACACTGAGTTATCCGTACACCTTTTGGCGCGTTTGGGGTACATGGCCAGAGGGACTGTTATAGCGATTTTTTCATAGTGTCATCATGGCAATCGATAACAACCTTTTGATATTTTACCTAATTCAAGTTATTTAATAAGACTATCCATGATATTTACAATAAATGGTGATTCGCAGATGCGTTGACAACCTTTTGAAAATTGGGCTCCGGCTACCTCACTCACCAGACTAAAACGCGAAAGTTCCTTCCACTTCATGCCCGTCTTCTGTGAGGTCGTGGTACTTACCCGGACGAGCCTACCCATTCGTGTACCAGCCGAGGCTGCTGTGTGGCCCGACCCCTTCCAGCGTTCATGATCACGGGTCTATCCCGTAAACTAGTTTCATTCAATATGTATAATATTCACGTAAAATCAAGAAGGTTATGACAATAATTGAATCCAAGCAGCCACAATAATAGAAGTAAAAATTAAAGAACAAATTGTATCCGCTCATTTCTAATACATAATTGATTAATCTTTCTGATCCTCAGTGGGAGTAACGATAGAAAAATTGACAGTTCAACCAAAGAAAAACCGGACAGCGAAGCTCAGGACAGAACTCACAACCGGGTACGTATTAGCAATTCTAAAAACAAAACTCTCGACAGAGTAAGTTATGACAGTGCGACTAAAATTCTCTACTCAAACTATTCTCATTTGTATATTAGGAAGGATAAAAAAACCAGCAAGTGCGATTCAGACTCGCGCACGAAGGGTAACTGTTTTCTTGTATTTGTTGCTATAACGGCAACAGAAATACATCATCTGTGAAAATTTCAACTATCGACTAACTATCAACGTCTAACTATCACGGCTCATGCGATACAGCCTGGTGACAGACGAACAGACAGAGACCGGAATGTTAGTAACACTAAGACCCCGGTTTCCCCCGTCCGTCTGTTCTGACTAATATTAAAAATTAACTCCTCACAGATTAGGTCATGTTAGCGAACAATATTTATTCACCATACTATTTCCACCCGTCTCGTTTGTAACCGTCCTCATCCGTAAGAAGGGCGGCCCGAGCCAGCGGGAGATGGCGCTGTACGGCGAGAGCCAGTCGGAGTGGAGCTCGTCGTGCTCGGAGGGCGAGGGCGAGGGCGGGGGCGCGCAGCCGGAGAGCACCGGCTACACCACCGACGACCCGGCGCTCGAGAACGTGTCCATGCTGAACGAGGCGGGCCTCACGGACGCCGAGGCGGCGCTCAGCGACGTCAACTCGTGCTACTTCGACCGCGACGAGGACGCCTCCTCGCGCGCCTCCTCGCGGCTGCTCGACTCCGAGGCGCTCGTGTCGCTCGAGAGCCTCAGCGCGATTTACGACTCGGACGAGCCGGCGCACAGGTACCTCGCCAACATCCGCACCGTCAGCGAGTGCATCACGCGCAACTTCGGCCAGCCCGCCCACGTCACGGACGCCGAGAGCGACGTGTAGCGCCCGCGTGCACCGCCTCGGAGCTCGCCACTATCCATGCGGCGTGCGGACAACGAAACGACCGGTGCACCTCTTACGGGTTCGCCACGATCCAAACGGCGGGCGGACAACGAAACGACCGGTGCACCGCTTCCAGGTTCGCCACGATCCAAACGGCGTTCGGACAATGAAACGAACGGTGCACTGCTTCGGGGCTCGCCACAATCCAAACGGCGGGCGGACAACGAAACGACCGGTGCACCGCTTCGGGGCTCGCCACGATCCAAATGGCGTGCGGACAAAGAAGCGAACAGTCGCGCTCTCTAATGTTTGAATACTCAAAATTTGACCGTTGTTCACATTTGGACGTTCCTAGTTTTGTTAACTGCTAATTTGGTATATACGTGTTCTCAATGTAGAGTGCACTGCTCCGCCATTGACTCTTCGTATATCGATGTTCCGATTGTACGTCGCTACCAATCTGTACTCTGCGTGTAAATTAATATGTACCTATTGTTGTTACGCTGTTGATATTCTTGTACAGACCAACGTGCCATTTGATGGCGCCACAAATCTTGTAGCAGTACTCGATGATCTCTACAATTATAAGGTGCTCTGACTTAGAATTATCTGTTGTTTACCTTAATAATTTCTTGTATTTACGCGATTACACACTAAAACTATGTTTACGGATTTATCGCATTTATTTTGGTTTTAATACCCGACATTTCGAACCGTTCATGGTCACGGGACAGACTGAGGCGTTGGACGTCTGATTGTCATTGTTAATCTGGCGGTAGCCCGGATAAATCCGTAAACAAAGTTTCATTTAGTAATGTTGTTTATCTTGTGATAGTGGAATAGGAAGTTGAATCCGGGTGACCAATCTTGTGAGTCAGTGTATTAAGGGTAAGGGCTGGCCCCTGTTCTGTACAATCTTGTTGACATTTCAGAGGATTCTCGTTTCAATTGTCAATGTGAATAATTGTAGAAATAGTACATAATTTAATAAGTTTAAGATATTTGCATTTCGATATGTGTTAAGCTTAACCATTGTTACCATAGATCGAACTAAGTTTTAAGGACATGCAGCTTAATGTTGTAGAGTGTGAGGTTTACTTGTCTCTTTGTCCACGTCACATAAAGAATCAAGTAATTTTAAGTTGTTTAACAAAGTGAACTTGAAAGTATAAATGTAGAAGCACAAAACAAAATAATTTTCAATTTGAATAGTTATTTCCGTGTACTATTTTCTGTTTATAACACTAATTCTTCGATTTTACTAATTATTATTAAACATGTATCTCTGCTATTTTCTATCTAGTCCCTTTTCTCATGACGTAATAGTGCCATTGTTTACTTTTTATTTACTTTTCTCGTAATATCAATAAATTCCGGACTTAAACGTTTTAAGAATCTTTGAATACATAATCCAGTATTTTACGATTGTAATATCTTTGGTCACAATTTTTCTTCAAACCGTTTATTAATTATACTTTTAGCGATTTATTTGGTCACAAATTAAAAGTGGACTTTTTTCTCCAAACCAACCAAATTACCTCAAAGTATGATTTTTCTTGTTTCGACATTGCTCTCACTTTATTTACTCTATAGGCAATAAATAATCTCATATTGGAGTGTTATAAAATAATAAACTTAACTAACAAGTGACCTTTAGTTAGCAGTAGATTTAAAGAACCGAGAGACTTGATAGTACAACCAATAAACAAACACCACTAGTGAATATTTGTTGTAGAATATTCTCCACGATTGAATTAAATTAATTAATTGTAATATAAATTCGTCGTCAATTCTTTATAATTGTCCTAGTATACTTATGTCATATGTAACCGATTATAAATAATATCGAAGATGATTGCTTCGGCTTGGCAGCGCTTACTTCACATTCATTGTATTCTGTTATCAGTGCATCACTTCACTACGCGTGTACTTAAAATGATACAATTGTTTGAATAGCGTTAAGATGACTCACTTCAATTCAATGTGGTGGTTGCGGAACATAAAATGATTTGTAAGTATTATAAAGCATATTCACGCAGTATTGTTTTGTATGATTTCACGTGCGAATTCATGTTAAGTTCGTCTATAAATTACCTTTGGCCCATTGGCGTATTCTATAAACATTGATTGTGTTCTAACGTGAGGGTTTTTACGTCGATAAGCAATCGGATCCAGAACTTTTACACAATTTGTCACGTGCCGGGAGCAAGTCTTGCTACTGATGAAGATTTCATTTAATTACTTCACCAACGGGAAGAGTTAAACCTGACAGTATGACGGTAGCTGGCAAAAATGAATTAAAAGTGCTGGACTGATTAAATTGTAAGTTGTTGTATTAAGGACGCGGGCGGATGCGCCCCAGTGAGATCTAGAAAATTGTTAATCTTTGTAAATATTGTTAATCAGCTGTCAACTTCTATTATACGATGATTTGTTTTTATCAGGATTTTATTAACTCTTATTTTCGAAAGTGTCTTATTTGCCATCCAGTTGTTAGTATTTCATTAAACATTTTTATGATAATTTTAGAAATAGTGCCAAATATTTTTGATTCTTGCTTAAATCTTGATAATAATTATTTATTGAAAACGCTTAAGGAATTTAGTCATCAATAGATTTCGTGCTATAATTTTGATATGATTGCTTAATCGAGATACTTTATTAAAATATTCAAACAATTGTAATAATTAAGAATCATAAATGAGTAGGAATTCTGAAACTAAAAGAAATGTAAAGGTTTCCTTAAATCGTATTAAATCTGTAATAAGACGGTGTACCATAAAGTTTTATTGTATATTCTACTGTAAATACCAAATAGTAATGGAGCGTTTCTTATTTTTCCTACTTTATATATATATATATATATATATATATATATATATATATATATATATATATATATGTATAAATTTTTGAACAAACGCGTTTACCACGCGGAGAAAATATCATTTCGATAACTTTCGTTATTCTAATGTAGATCCCCTGATTAGACCTTACTGGTAATATGACATTGTGCAATGCTATTTATTTGAATTCAATTGAGCAATATTAATTAATTACATTTAATTAAAAGGGTACATATGGAAGGAAAATTGTTTTTTATTTAAAATTCAGTTATTGTTTATTAACCAATTTTGTCCGGATATTTTTAACCCTGAGATGATAGGATATTCTTCATAAATACTATCACGAAACCCATCACAACGGAGTTCTCCTGAGTCATAGCCGTGAACCAATACTTAAATCATCTATGGGAATGATAGAGCTTATGTTTGCTAGTCAGGTATGAAAGACCAACAGGAGCTTGTCTCGCGCATACTAATGTTTATACATTGAAATATGCCGCGAACTATGAGATAAAAGCTAGATACAATGTTTAAAAGTATCTACCCGTCAGTATGATAACATATCGCGTGCATATTATTTAGCAAGATAGAGTTTAATTTGGTAAACGTAATATTGTATAGTGGTTTTCATTAAAATTACCCCCTTTTTTGTACAATATTCATTTCAGAATCTTTATTATCCCATTATGACTACATTATTTCATTAGATGAAGTATGTAAATATCAGTATATTTATATAAGGATATAAGGATGTAATCAGATATTTTATGATGTTGGAAGGATTAACATAAAAATAATATTATTGCATGCCACAACTATTTATCTCAAAACAGACTTTTTCTATAAACATAACCAAATCAACAAAAATGAAAAACACTTAAATAAGAAGGTAAATATTTATACGCCTGGGAGTCGATCCAGGGATACACTACTCGAAAGCCAAAAACTGCTCATTTCCGTAGCCGTTATTTTAAATGTCACAACAACGTTTACTGGACGTAACTGTGAGATGGATAGTAGATTTTTCATTGATTGAAGTCTAGATAATAATTGGCAAGCCTTATTCATATTGAATAATTAAAATATAAGCTACATACAATAGAATGGAGCATGGATTAGCTATACCATATTTAAAGTTGAAACGAAGGCATCGCGCAAGCGGCGCGCGTTATGACCACAACACAAGCGCACAGCTGCCCGGCGCGACGCCGACGCTCATTGGCTGTGAGCGGGAACCGGTCGCGCGCACCCCGCCGCCCCTCCTCCCGCTAAACTTCCAAACGAATTCTTATTCATGTTCCTTGCCACGACCGTTGCTGCCGTTGAGTTGTGAGTCGCTACGTCCGTTTTCGCGTAATCTTGTCGTATGTTTTCAATAGTGAATGTTGTGATCTTTATAGGTGTATCCTTCTCAATTCCAACGAAATAGTGTCTGGTGGATGTTTAATAGTGAAACCGAAGCATATTTTAATGTCGCTATGAAAACACACGATCAGTCCTATGTTATTGTCCTTTTTGTTTCGGCGGTGCTTCGTGACCAACTACAACATAGGGCCACCTATACCATGTGCGTCAGGTAGTGAGTGATGTGCTATTAATTTTTTTATAAAAAAAATATGGTAGATTGTGGATATTTCGGTGCGTAATGAGCTGCGAGGCGCGGTGTTTCTGGTGATTCATAGAATGTGTAGTATGAATATGAAGGTAACTGTGTGTTTCGGGTCTGTGCGAGTGCTGGTACCATGCGGCGCCGGCGACTTATTGGTCAGGGACCTCGTACGGGAAGCCACACACCGGTATAAGAAAGCTACCGGACAGGTCAGTAGTATTTTCTCTACTATAGATACATGACTAGGAAAGGTTAGGTGTTAACTATCGAGTTTTTGGTGGCTCTAATTAATAGTACGTTAATTTTATTACTTATCAGCATACACAGTTATGTATTTGTTCTTAACCTGACTTTTTAGTAATGTCATCCAATAATAAAATGTTTATAAAAGCTTTAACGAATTTAAAGACAAATTGATTCATACTACCTACTTGATGTATAAAAGCAAAGTAAAGTAGATGGGTAGATCGATAATAGTAATTATGGTTACAACTAGTATTTCCTATAATGTGATCTTTTTGCTATAGAATGCACGATTGTAGCTGAGCAAGAACCACTTTCGCGGCAATGTATCAATTCTGAATATACTACATGCATTAGCGGTTCTTGAGCGATGCGGTCAAACTAGTTCACGCACGAATTGTTTGTATTTCATAATGGACATAGTTTACCAAAATATTTGCTTTGGCATTTTCAGTACATCAGAATCACAACAAAAACTGGGGTACTTGCTTATTACCAAAAATGTAATTCAAGAATACCGTAAAGGGCCAAATTTATTGCACTGAACGACATTAATGACCATCATCAAAAGTCTTCAAAGAAAAATAAACATGATAATGAAAATCAACACATACAATTAGTTTTGTTACGTCATTATATTAACAACATTAGGGATATTGTTTTTGAACGTTTTAACTAGGCGATAAGCATTCACCTGCTGCTCAAGCCCGTAATGCGTACAAATGCCAGCCACTTAGTACTATGTAGGAAGCCGACGACCTTGTTTGCACCTTTGCAGCACCATTGACTTGTAGAGCAATACAAGTATGTGAGATATGAGCAATCATCGCCATTTCTT